TATTTTCCTTTTTAAAATAAAAATTAACATTTATTTCCATGGGTGTAGATGTATGTGGGCGCACACATGCCATGGTGCATGTGTAGAAGTCAGAGACAACTTGCAGGAGTTACTTTCATTTTGTGGGACCTGGGGATTGAACGCACGTCATCAGATTTTGTGGCAATCATCTTTACTCCCTGAGCCATCTTTCTTTCTTTCTTTCTTTTTTTTTTTTTTTATGGTGATCCCAATCTTGTTGGCAACATCCAGAGCATCATCATCAGGAGCCAACCAAACATATGCCTTCTTCTCTGTCAGGTCTTATCAGGGTATTGGCTTTGGCCACATCAATGTCTCAGAGTTTCTTCACAGCCTGTTTGATCTGCTGCTTGTTAGCCTTGACATCCACAGCGAACACAAGTGTGTTGTTGTCCTCTATTTTCTTCATGGATGACTCGGTGGTCAGAGGGCATTTGATGATGGCATAGCTTGTTTTTCCTAGGTACACTCTTTTACTCTTTCAAGGGTGTTTTGGGTGCCTCTGGAGCAGCAGGGTTTTGGGCCACGGGAAGGTGGGTGACGTGGGTGCGGATCTTCTTTTTGTGGCTGTGGATGCCTTTCAGCATCATCTTCTTAGCTTTCAAGGCATTCTTCGCTTTGGTTTCAGCTTTGGGAGGGACAGGAGCTTCCTTCTTCGCTTTTGACACCATCTTGGCCTGGGCCATCTTTCAAACAGCTCACCCTTTAAATGTTTTATTGCCTAAAAAGTCAATTTTTAATAAAAATTTAAATAAAAATTTAAAACAACCAAACCCCACAAAACCAAACCACAACAGAATGATCTCGTGTAGCCCAAGGTGGCTTTAAACTACCCACACAGCTGAGGATATCTTTGAACTCCTGATCTTCTTGCCTCCATCTCCTAGATACCGAAAGTTGCCATGCCCAGTTTCTCAGCACAGAATTTAAGAAATTACCTAAAGTGGAAGTGGTGATGTGTGCTTATGATACTAGCACGGAGGCAGCTAAGGCACAGTGATTATGAGTCTGAAGCCAGCCCACATTGCACAGGGGCTCATCAACAAATCAAGCTTCAATTCCCTAGCTTATTTCTTAAATGTTTTAAGGTTGGGGATAAAGAGGTGGCTCAGTGGTTAAGAGCACTGGCTTAGGGGGGCACAGTGGTACACACCTATAATCCCAGCTTTGTGAATTTGGGGCTAGCCTGGTCTACAAAGTGATTCCAGGACAGCCAAGGCTACACAGAGAAACCCTGTCTAGAAGGGAAAAAATAAAATAAAATAAAAGAAAAGAAAAGAAAAGAAAAGAACACTGGCTGGTCTGTTTGAGGACCTGAGTTTGATTCCCAGTGCCCACATGGTGGCTTACAACTATCACCAATTCCAGTTCTAGGGATCCAACTCCAGACTTCTCAAGCAGGCATATATTATACAGACATATATGCACACAAAACACATAAACATAAAATAAATAAATTTATTAAAAAGTCCTTTTTTGAGGTGAGTGGTACTTTTAAATAACATTCTATTTTTTGGAACAACTACATTCAATTTTACAAAGTGTATAAAGTTTTTAACTTAAGATTGTCTTGTTTGGAACAAGATCTTTTTTTCATTATTTTATTTATTTATTTTTTATTAATTACAGTTTATTCACTTTGTATCCCAGCTGTAACCACCTTCCCCATCCCCTCCCAATCCCACCCTCCTCTTCTTCTCCTATGCCCCTCCCCCAGTCCAATGATAGGGTAAGTCCTCCTCCCCTTCCATCTGGCCCTAGTCTATCAGGTCTCATCAGGATTGGTTTCTTTGTCTTCCTCTGTGGCCTGGTAAGGCTGCTCCCTCCTCAGGCAGAGATGATCAAAGAGCCAGCCCATGAGTTCATGTCAGAGACAGTCTCTGTTCCTATTACTGGGGAATCCTCTTGGACACTGAGCTGCCATGGGCTCCTTCTGTGCAGGGGTTCTAAGTTATCTCCATGCATGGTCCTTGTTTGGAGTATCAGTCTCAGAAAAGACCCTTGTGCCCAGATTTTTTAGTTCTGTTGCTCTCCTTGTGGAGTTCCTGTCCCCTCCAGGTCTTTCTATCTCCCCCTTCTTTCATAAGATTCCCTTCACTCTGCAAAAAGTTTGGCTACGTATCTCAGCATATGTTTTAATACCCTTCTGAGTAGAGCCTTTCAGAGTCCCTCTGTGATAGTCTCCTGTCCTGTTCCCTGTTTTCTCTCTCTTTTGATGTCAATCTCATTTACCTTTCTGAATGAAGATTGGGCTTCTTACCAGGGTCCTTCTTAATTAGCTTCCTTAGGTGTACAGGTTTTAATATGATTATCCTTGGAACAAAGTCTTGTGTAACCCAAGAAGCCTCAAAGTTGTGTAGCAAAGGATGGCCTTGATGTTTTTTTTTTTTTTTTAGTTTTGTTTTTTTTTTTTTATGCTACTGACTTCTCAAGGACAAGCATTTTAAAACAGGCAAAACAAGCTTTATCTTTGATTTGCTGCCTAAGTGTATAGGGTGCATGCACACATGTTTGTCTGTGTGTGTATGTCTGTGTGTGGAAGAAAAAGGGAGGGAGAGATCAGATGATGACTTGTGGAAGTTCTCTCCTTCCACTTTGTGGAAGACAGGATAGAACCCTAATTATAAGGCTTTATATATATTATAGCAAGCACTTTTACCCACTGAGAACCTCTTGCTGGCCCCACCCTCTGTTTCACTGTGTGGGATTTTATTGAATCCCATCTGGAGGCTCATTTTTGATGTTTGGTTTTTCAAGGCAGGTCTTATCTCTGTGACCCAACCTGGCTTAGAACTCACAGGAATCATGCTGCCTCAGTCTCCCAGGTGTTAAGATTGCAGGTGTGAGCCACCATGCCTGACTGCTTCTGAAAGCTGCTGCTTTTTCTACTTTTCCCTCTGTTTGTTGGTTTGATTACTTGTGGGGTTAGGGGTTGCCAGCCTGATCTATCACTTCACAGCCTCCATCAGCTTTCCAGCTAACAGTCAGTCTTAAAATGGAAAGCCTGATGGCTGAGAAAATAGCTCAGTTGCAAAGCATGAAGACCTGAGTTCAGATCTCTAAAGCCTGCATAAAAAAGCCAGGCATGCCAACATGCACCTGTAATCCCAGCACTGGGGAGACGGAGACAGGAGAATACCAAGAACTTGCTGGTCAGCCAGTGTAGTTTAGTTGGTAAGCTCCAAGCTCAGTGAGACCCTGCCTCAAACATAAGGTGGAGAGTGATTGAAGATGGCATCTGACAACAAGCTCTGGCCTCCATACATGTATGCACACATGTGAACTTCCTCACACGAACACATATATGCATAGACATGTACACACACATTAATGAATATGAACAGGTGCACTCAATGGCCCACACATTAAAATACGTATGTACACATACTTAAGTGTACACATAAGCATGCATAGTATATAAACATTCACACATGTATACATATACCTAGTTCATGAATGAACACACAGATGAACACATGAATGCATACATATTCACACATGGAGACATGAACACATATATGTTATGTTTTATATTATCATCACTGTGCTACACCCCAGACCAGGTTTTAAATGTTTTTAAACAGATAAACAAGCTATTATCTATACTGTTTTGTGATTTCTTTTATTTTAAAAAATGATCTCTTGATAGTCAATCCCTAGAATCCTCCCTGCAGCAGCGCTTCATTTGGAAACAATTCACATACAATCTAATTCACTTATCTATTTATTTTTGATGCTGGGGATCAAATCCAGGGCATTGTAAAGCTAAGCACACATTCCACCACCAAGCTGCATTCTTAGTCCCCTTCCCATTAATTTTTTTCAATCCAATTATTTTTAGAGTATTCTTAGATTTGTGCATCCACTACTACAAGTTCAAGAATATTTCCATCACCTCCAAGTAACTGTGCACCTGTTAGCTTTTACCTTGTGATTCTTCCCCAGCTCCTGACAGTTGCTAATTACCTAATTACCTTGTTTTCATGGATTTGCCTCGTCTGGACATTTCTTATAAATTGAATCATACCATATGTGGCCACATTATAGGAGGCACAGCATTCTGTTCTTTTTTTATGGTTCAATATATTCCTCTGTATGGCTCTACCACATTTTATTTATTCATTCTTCTGTTTTGAATATTTGTGGTATTTCTTTGGGGCTATTATAAACTTGCTAGGAACATTTATGATCACATTTTTAGACACATCAGTGCATTCGTTTATCCTAAGAATCGAATTTCTGAATCATATGGTAGGTCTGTGTTCAAACATCAGAAAATCCACCATTTATTTTGTAGCAGGCAGTTAAGATTTAGGTGTATTTTAGCTGGGTGCAGTGATGAACACCTTTAATCCAAACACTTGGGAGGCAGAGGCAGGCAGGTCTCTGTGAATTCGAGGCCAGACTGGTCTACAGAGCAAGTTTCAGAACAGTCAAGAAATCATGTCTTGAAAAAAACAAAACAAAGTTTAAAAAAAAAAGATTAGGGCTAGAGAAATGGCTTAGCTGTTAAGAGCACTGGCTGCTCTTCCAGAGAATCTGAGGTCTAATTTCCCAGCACCTGCATGGCAGTTTACAACTGTCTGTAACTCCAGTTCAAGAGGATCTGACATCCTTACATAAATACATGTAGAATAAAGTTAAATTTTAAAAAGATCTAGGCATCTTCCATGTCAATATTTGCAGAAAAACTTCTTCAGCACCAAGTGGTAGTTCACTGTAAGAAAATGCCCTGGTTTTACATATCTAGTCCCACAAAGATGGGCATTTGGATTGTTTGGGTTTCATTCTGAGATTCTCATGTCATTCCTTACCTGAAGGACATCAAGGTTGTTGCTGTTTGATAACATAACCAATACTGAAGGGGGCATTCTTATTTTTATGGGATATTTTTGTACCCTGAATCCCTAGATATGGTGAGATGAGGTGAGGGCCTACTCTCTTAGGCTTCATTCTGACTCTGTCTTTTTACTCCACAGGGGACCACCAAGCACCATGGCACAGAAAGGGCAACTCAGTGATGATGAGAAGTTCCTCTTTGTGGACAAAAACTTCATGAACAGCCCAATGGCCCAGGCTGACTGGGTAGCCAAGAAGCTGGTATGGGTCCCTTCAGAGAAGCAGGGCTTTGAGGCAGCCAGCATTAAGGAGGAAAAGGGTGATGAGGTAGTTGTGGAGCTGGTGGAAAATGGCAAGAAGGTCACAGTGGGTAAAGATGACATCCAGAAAATGAACCCGCCTAAGTTCTCCAAGGTGGAAGACATGGCAGAGCTGACATGCCTCAATGAGGCTTCTGTGCTGCACAACCTGAGGGAGCGATACTTCTCGGGACTAATCTATGTGAGTATCTTGGAGTAATGACCTTCTTTTAGTCTCCTGTGGAAGAGAAAGGTTTAGAAATGTTTGTGAGCTGGGTGTGGTGCATATCAGTAATCGAGGCATTCAGAAGGTGGATGTGGAAGATCAAGAGTTCAAGGCTAGCCTGGCCTACAAAGTGATACCCTGTCTCCAAAAAAGTGCTTGCTATACATATATGAGGACCTGAGTTTAGTTCCTCATCACCCAAGTAAAAAGTTGAGCATGGCAACATGTGCCTGTAACCCCTGTTCTGGAAAATATAGGAACTAGGCTAGCTGCATTGATGAGTTCTACATTTAGTAAGAAACCTTGTCTCAGAGAATGAATGAGGACGGCATCTATTATCAACCTCTGGCATGAAGATACATGTTCATACACAAACCTGCACACACACAAACATGTGTACACATATGCACCACATACACACAAACAAATACTGTGGTTAGGACGCGGATCAAAATTCTACAGATTTGACTCTTAGTGGGGGTCACACTACAGGTAGGCATCAGTCACTGGGTTCACAACTGTCCTGCCATGCCTGGTTCAAGATCGAGAACACACTATTGTAGTCTGGAAGCCTCAGTCCTCTCGTCTGTAGAGTAGGAATGGTCACCTTCCACAGGCAAAGTCCACACAGTCACACACTCAGAGTGCTAAAGCAACCCATGGTGTTGAAAACGTCATTCCTGGCGTTAGAATTAGTTAGATGTCTTACATCTTACATCCTCCTCAAAAAGGCTGGTGCCTCTCTGCCCCTGGAAAGTAAGGCATATAAGGATCTAAATAGGTTTTCTGGAGGTCCTCCTTGACACACAGGAATGGCCACATGGGACCTCAGACTCTGTAGGTTTATTTCGGTGACTTGAAGTCATGCTTTCCAACATGACTGCCTCTGGGTCCTTGCCTCCTAACTAATTGAAAGGTGAGTTTATTTATTTATATATTTTAAACATGAATATTTACAAGGTAATTTCTTCAGCTATATCTTGGCCACATGTCATGAGCTTAACAGCTGTAATACTAGATCACATAATTCTAAAACATTCTCATTATTATGTTCTGTTGCTCAGCCTGAGATACTTGATGAGGGTAGCTTGGTACACAGGTTCCTTGTGGATTGGACCAGCTCCTTAAAACACAAAGGACACAGATATCCCCAAGGTTTCTGCTTGGCAGGCAGAGACCCTGGCCTTTTGTCCACTTTATCTCTGAAGGTGCTAGTAAATCTTTTGGAAGGTTCCCCTTTTATCTAAAATATTCTTTTCCTCTCTGAACTGTGAGGAACCATGTCAGGTTTATGTATTAAGGCTCTTTCTAGAAAGATATCATGAATATTTCCCAGCAGATGGACCCTTGAGAATGCCAGGGGTTTTGTTCTTACTTTTGTGTCTGCTATGGCTGGCTGTTACTTGTCACTTGTTGGGTCCCTTGCACATCTTCTGAAAAAAGGGTGCTCCCATGGCCATAACATCTCATTCCAACCCTTCAGGGCATCCAGCCTTTAACAATGTGGTAGAATGTTGTCACCTACAGATGTGTTGGACCAAGTTTATATTTTCTCTGGGATTCATGGGCTGCAAGTTAGACACACCTGCTACAGTTTGCTCTTGAAAATGACAAAAATCTCCTATTGTAGAATGTAGAATGCTCTGCAGATTTTTTTTTCCAAATTAGTACTTGATAGAGAGAGTGCTGGGCTTTAGGACTCCAGCCTTTCCTCAAGTTGCATCCCCACTATGTGAGGACAGAGACAGGCCTGTGTGTTCATTTTACCTGACAATTCTATGACATAGTAGAAATCAAGAAGCATGGGGGAGGAGGAGTCCTAAACCAGAGATCATTAGAAGCAGATTAAAAGTATCTAGAGGCTTCAGATCCCTGTCATGCTTCTCTGGAAGGATTACTTTCAGTCCTCTTGGCCTCAGGATTATATGTCTTCTGCTGCCTAGTATCATTCTGCTCAAATGAATCACTTCATAGAAACTTCTGATCATGATGAAAATAACACTGTATGGGTCTGGGAGCCAGGAGTGACCCCGGTCTATAGCAACATAATGCAGGGTTTCTGTTGCCTGGGTATGTAAGGTAATTCTGGACCCTCAGCTCAGGAGGCTGGCTGCCTGATGTTTTCCTTAATGATAGACTTCTTCTGCTAGACTCATCCTAAACAAGGGGCCTTTTAGAAGGCTATGGCAGATCTTTTGTCTTCTGACATCTAGAAGGTTCTATCTAAGACAGAGGGCCTACTTCCTCTTCTGACTATGGGTTCCTTGCAGGGCTGCTGCATGATTTAGGGCACACCTGGCACATAGCTCTGACACCTGGTTTCAGGCACCTTGGCTCTTCTGTACATTGTCATTGGCTAAGACCACTTTGCCTGTAATTTATTACAGAGGACATTACACTCAGCTTTGTTCCAGGCATTGTTCTGGAGTCGGGGTGGGAGTGGGGTAGGGGAGAAGAGGGAGCTCAACTTTGGGACTATCAGGGACTTTCCTGAGTAGGGACACTGGAAGCAATCACCCACAGGGCCCCAAAGGATAAAAAGAAAAAGAACAGTTGCAGGCCACCTCTTGAGAAGCCCCATGAATTAGTTCTTACAATCTTAAGGCTTCAAAAATGAAGCAGGGCTATCCACTCAAAATTTTTTTTGTAAAAGTGTGTGTTAAGGCTGGGCAGGTGGCTCAGTGGGGAAAGTGCTTGTCATGAAAGCAAGAGGACCTGAGTTCAGATTCTCAGTGCCACATGGTGGAATACCTCTGTAACCCTAGCACTGGGTGAGTAGAGAGAGGTGGATCCCAGGACTTCACTGGGTGCCAGCCTAGGCAATCAGTGAGTGCCAGGTTCAGTGAGAAAGATCTTTTGTCTCAAATGATAGTGTAAGATACCCAAGACTGGCCCCTACACACATGCATGCATGCACTCATTCTCATATGTTGCATACACCCCCAAAAGAAAGACATATGGTCCCTCCTCACCTTTTAACTCCTGACCCTTTGTCTTGGGGACAGATACGATTTACAGGGTCATTCATGCCTATCTAACAGCAATATCACTCTCTGAACCTTATGCAACTCATTCTTTTGATCAGCTGAGCCTGTGGCCTTCTGCTTCTCTCTGTCAGCACCTAGTAAGATCTAAGACCTAATGTAAATAGCTAAGGGATGCAGAACTTTCCCTTTCATTTTAGTCCCTTATTCTTCCCACTCCCACCCTCAGAGAGACTAGCCCACCATTCACTTGGAGGCAGCTAGTCTCAAACTTGAGGTCCCCCACCTCAGCTTTTCAGTGCTAGATTTATAAGTGTGGTCCCACTGTTCTTGGCTTCCCTGTTTCTTACCAAGTACCAGACAATATTTTATACATATATAAATTCAGAACATTCTCTGTTCCCTTAAAGAGGCAGCTTGGGCCACATTTTGTTGTGCATCTGTTATTTTCTTTTCTTTCCTTTGCATCTGTGTATGTTAACAGGTACCCTTCATGGCAGATCAAAATCTCCTGCTGCGGCCATGAACTGCACCACCAAGGCCCTACTGATAGGCACCTCCACTGTCACTGGCCTTCCAGCCACAATAGAAGCACATTATTGGTGAAGCATACGTCTCTAGCACAAATACTCCAAAAGTGTGAATGCCACATACAACTCTGTAGAGAATGCAGAGTTCTGATTAGTCTCTGGGGGAGAGAGGAGGCTCAGGGTTAGGCCATGTGCTTATGTAGTGGGTTATGAGGCAAAGCAGAGACTACCCCTGGAATGTGTGTTTTGGTCAGCATCTTCCTCATTACTTCCAATCCTCCTCTCTTCCTGAGGCCAAGCCCTTGGGAGCAGCTCTGCTTGCTGCTCTGAGGCTGACCATATAAAGCATGGGGAACATCCAGGCCTGCTTCCTAATACGGTCACAAAAGGGAGATCCTACTTCAGCTAGGACCTGCTGGTGGCACTGGGATGTTAGGACCTCTGAACTCAAGTATCAGGAGAGGGACTATGCTGGGCATGAGACCCTGGTTTCCTCAAGAGGATTGTTAGCTGAAGCAGACTCAGATTTGCCTGAAGCTTGGATTAAGTGTGCGCTGTGTGGGTGGGCCCCAAAGAAGGAGCATAAGCAAGCAGGAAGAGAGTACAGCTCTCCCTGGGAAAGAGGAGTTGTTAGGTCTCACACTCAGGACAAATAGCTGACTGAAGTGCCTATTTAACATATCAAAGTGGACACTGGCCCCAGGTTCTCCCAGCATCTCTTGCTACCTGTTAAAGTCATACTGGCTGGCATTCCAGGCCTCCTACCCTAAACTCTTTAGCATTGAGCTTCACTGTCCTTCCTGCAGCTGCTCTTCCCTATGGAACCCAGCCATTTTGACTACATGTCCCCTTTGCCTCCCCTTTGCTTCTTGGTCTTCTAGCTCGCTCACTCCTGGCCTCTTGGCTCCTAGTTCCTTTCTTTTCCTCTTCCTCACCCCAATCCCTACCCCACCCTGACCCTACAGCCCCGTTCAATCCTGGCCCTTTCTGGCTGTGCTTTCACTCATACCTGCAATAACCCTTCTCTTCACTATACCATTCTGAAAGGGGTGTTGCTCCAGTGAGCTGGGAGCCAGGGTTGAGACCTAAATAGAGGTGGGGCCTGACTAGTTTTCATTCAGATGATTATTGATTGGCACTACTCTTTGGGAGCCTAGGTATATCGGGGTTAGTAAGGAACAGGCCACAGTTGTCGCTCAGCAGATATTCACTGAACAGGTACTGTATGCAGTTCAAGGTCACCAGGACAAACAGGCAAGGGCAAGCTACCTCTACCCTTGAGATTTCAACTTAACCCTTGGTAATAATTTAGTAAGCATTTAATTAGTACCTACTGTATGTCAAGGGGCTGGGGCTGAAGAGGACAGAAGGAGCGCAGGTGTGTGTGGGTGACTGCAGCTGGCCCTTCCAGGTCAGAAAATGACCTGGGAGACACCACCCAGATCTTCCACCAAGCTGGAGGCTATCCTGGCCAGCTAATCTGACCTCCACAGATGCCTCTTCCCTCTGACTGTTGCAGCTTTGGCTATCCCTAACTGCCTGCAGACAGCCTACATCCTCCTTTCCTGTCTCCCTGTCTGCCTCCAAGCCTTCTGAATCCTGATCTGGACTGCCTTCTTCACTGTCCTTTAAGACTCAGCACTGTAGCAATTCCCACAGTCACCTCAACATTCCTCAGAGCTTCTCTTGTTTTGATTTCTGTTAGTTGGTATGAATCCCCTGTCACTGTTCCACTCTCTCCTCACCTGGAAGTTCTTAGAGAGACAGATACTGCTGAGGTATAGAGCTAGGGCCTTTGGGGCCACCATGGCCTGAGAGTGTTTCCCTTCTCCTCATCAGTTCTGCAGCTGTGATGAGCAGCAGGCATTTATTATCTTGCTTTTGAATTTTGTTGTTATTTCTCACATTTAGTCTTTAGTCTTTGTTGTTTCACCACCACCATCACCTTTCTTTTTTTCTTTACTTTCTTTTTTTAAGACGGGATCTCATATAGCCCAAGCTGGCCTCAAACTTGCTTTGTAGTTGAGAATGACTTTGAACTCCTGATTCTCTGAATACTGTGATTACAGACATGCACCACCATAGCTGGTTCCATGCTACACAAGCCCTGAACCCACTGAGCCACATTTCCAGGTTTTTTCTTTCACCTGTGAACGTGCTGTAGTATGTCACCCCCTCCCCACTGTGGGCTAGCACTGTATGTCACTGTATTTCAGGGTCATCTCACTTCTCAGTATTTACAGTCCTAAATTATTAAATTACTTCTAAGAGACCAGTCCTGGTGGTGCATGCTTTTCATTCCAGCACTCAGGAGGCCAGCCTGGTCTACAAACAGAGTTCCAGGATAGCTAGAGCTATACAGAGAAACCCTGTCTCAAAAACAAAAAGAAAAAAACAAACAAACAAACAAACAAAAATTACTTCTAAGACTTCCTCAATAAATAATAGCATCATTCAACCACATTGTTTTCTTTCTATATAAGGTTAGGACAGTCCTACTGTCCACACATAAGCCTCTACTCAGACTTGTGTGCTAGATATTTCATTGCTGTTTACAAATTAAAAACCACATTGTTATTGGTATTCTTTTGTCTTGTGTTATTTTTTGAGACATGGTTTCTCTGTGTAGCCCTGAGTGTCTTTGAACTTGCTCTGTAGACCAGGATGGCATGAATTTAGAGATCTGCCTATCTCTGCATCCTAAGTTCTAGGATTAAAGGTATGTACCACCACTGCCCGTTGGTATTCTTTAGGTAGCATTCTATCTTTTAATCAAATAAAAAAATCAGAATGAGATAAATAAAAAAGGAATTTTGGAAATGCTGGAGAGATGGCTCAGTTGGTAAAGTACCGGGTGACCAAGCATGAGAACCCGAGTTGAGTTTCCAGCTCCCATGGGGAAAGCTAGCTGTGGAGAGCCTTCCTCCTGTCCCTGTAATGCTGGGGAGAGCCTTCCTCCTGTCCCTGTGATGCTGGGGAGAGCCTTCCTCCTGTCCTGTGATGCTGTGGAGAGCCTTCCTCCTGTCCCTGTGATGCTGGGGAGAGCCTTCCTCCTGTCCTGTGATGCTGTGAAGAGCCTTCCTCCTGTCCCTGTGATGCTGGGGAGAGCCTTCCTCCTGTCCTATGATGCTGTGAAGAGCCTTCTTCCGGTCCCCGTGATGCTGTGAAGAGCCTTCTTCCTGTCCCCGTGATGCTGGGGAGGCAGGGACAGTTGGAGTTTATGCTTAGCCAGCCTAGTCAAATATGTAGTTCCACCTTCAGTGAGAGAGCCCATTTTAAACAAGAGTAAAAAAATGAGGAAGATGCCCCATGTTGACATGTGCATATGTGCCCTCCATATATAAACATGTGCACACAGACACACAAGTTATGTGCCTTCCTGAGGCTTAGTAAGGTAGACGACAGTGGTGGGTTGAGAGCTTAGAAGTGAGCCCAGAACTGGTTAAGACTCAACCACAGGTGGTTTGGGATCCCAATCTTGCTTTTCTCTTCTTTCACCCTGTGTCCTGAATACAAGGGATGTCACAAGGCTCCTGCTGAGCTGCTGAGGAGCCTTAGTTTCCTCACCATGGCATGAGGTTACTGATCGTGGGTGTGGGAGCTTCCCCACCCATCCAAAGGTCCAGAACTAAGCCTGGCTCTCTCTTGCAGACCTACTCTGGCCTCTTCTGTGTTGTAGTCAACCCCTACAAACACCTACCCATTTACTCAGAGAAGATCGTGGACATGTACAAAGGCAAGAAGAGGCATGAGATGCCGCCCCACATCTATGCCATTGCTGACACAGCCTACAGAAGCATGCTACAAGGTGAGTCTGCCAGGGCTCAGCCTCAGGCCTAACCTCAGTCCCCACCCCCACCTGCCTGAGTCCCTGTCAGGAATGTGGAGTTTGGCAGGCAGTGCCTTGACTAAAAAAGGACAAAAGCAAAAGGAACATCAGTCTGCAACAAGGAGGGGGCAGGGAACTCAGGGCTTGAGCAAATACGGGCATTGGCCTGTCTGGCTTCTGCCATCCCTAGCCCAGCCAGCAGCCAGAGAGGAAAAAGGACAGGCTGTGGATGAGCTAGAGGCTCCTGGGTTGCCACTTGCTAGTCTTCATTTCTGGGATTGTAGTCAGAGGTCTTTTTCTTCTCAGCCTCAATTTCCTTGTATGTGAAAGGGATAATAGTCTATGTGATAGCTTCTATGAGAGTTGCTGTGGTGACTTTTCCAGTGGAGGACCTTTGCACACATACTCCAAGTCCAGATGTGGCAGCTGTGAATTCTTTATCTGAAATGTTTGGGGACAGAGCCATTGCAGATTTAAAATTCCTCCAGTCCCCAGATTTAAGAATATTTCCAAATCTTCATGATGAGAATTTGTGGGGCTAGAGCTCATGCCTAAACACAATATTCATTTCTGTTTCATTTCTATACAGTTCCGAGGTACTTTTTGATAATATTTTAAATAATCTGGTGCATGAAACAACATTTTGTCAAATGGAATTTTCCCTTTGTGGTCTCATGTTTAGACTAAAGAGTTTCTGATTTGGTGTTTTGGAGTTTAGGATTTTCAACCCATGTGATTGCTATTTTTAATGAGTGTTTCTATTGGGGCGAAATGGCAGATACATAAAAGAAGAATAGGGAAAGTGTTAATTTAAGAGTCCATTGAAGTTAAATTTTATGCCTGATTCTAGTAGGATAATTACCATTTAGATAAAGATATGAATGAAGTATTCTAAAAGGTTCCTTTATGCCTTTTCCTAGCCAATACCTCTTCAGTGCCTGCCCCTGCCTGCTAAGGTCACTACTATTGTGATTTCATCACCATCAGCTTAGTTGTGAACTTCAGCAAAAGCTGCACTTACATTGTTTAACAAGCATTCTGGAGCGTTCCTCCTCCCCAGACCTCCTCAGAAGAAACATGTCAGCTACAGCATGAAGTCTAGGGTATTGCTGCCTGTGCTAGCATGTGGTGCCACTGCTGTGTGACTTTGCTAAGTGAAGCTGCTAAGTGTCCTGTAGCTCTGTTCTTCCTCTGTAAAAGGGGATAAAGAACTAGGTCTTAACCAGGCTCGTTGACCCAGGCTATAATCCAACCAATTATGAGACTGAAGCAGAATGACAACAAGTTTGAGATTATCTGAGCCTATGAAATGAGTGTGAGGTCAGCCCTCAAAGTCAACCAGCCAGTCAGCACATCATCCATCCAAACAGAGAAGTCTGTGACTGCCTCTTAGGGCTGACATGAGAATTAAATGAACTGTTACATCTTTTTTTTAATTTATTTTTTTATTTAGAACTGTTACATCTTAATGTTTTCAAAACATTAAGGCTGGGACTTGATCAACAAACACCCTTTCTAAGCATCCCCAATTCCAAAATCCAAAATCTGAAATGCTTCAAGATCTGGGATAATTTCATTGCAGATTCTAGGAAGTGTAAATTCTAAGCCATGAAATTTTGATTATGAGCAAAGTTATTTAAAACATAACATGAGTCAGGTGTGATGGTGCATGAGTAAAATTAAAATGCCAGCACTGGAGAGGCGGAGGGAGGCAGAGCTCCGTGGCTCTGAGGCTAGCCTAGTAAACAAAAAGAACTCTAGGACAGCCAGGACTACATAGAGAGATCCTGTTTATAAACAAACAAATGAAACACCTTCAGATGGGCTGAGAGATGGCTCAGCAGTTAAGAACACTTGCTGCTTTTCTAGAGAATCTGAGTTTGGCTGCCAGCACCCAGTTCAGGAAACTCCCAAATCCTTCCAACTGTAGCTCCAAGGAATTCAATACCCCCTTCTAGTCTCTATGAGTACCTGAATTTGTATGGACACCCCCCCCACACACACACACACACTTAAATAAAATTTCTAAAAGTCCAGATAATATCTAGAAGACATATGTGAGACTTGGCTTCCTCTCATCTTCAGGCTACTTCATTATGAATCTGCAAATTTTCTCAAATTTGAAGCTATCTGGAATCTGAACACTCTAGTTCTATGCTTTTCATCTATAGGATGCTAGGAATGATTCATGAACAGGAGGACAATATGGAGCATATTGGGACAGGTTAATAGCTATGAGACCGGAGTTAACACAAGAAGGTGGAAGAGCCAGGTGAGGGCCAGTTGGAACCTGCACACTGACATCCCTTCACAAAGGCAGTCAGCTCAAGGGGGCATGGGTCTGAGTTGATGATTGAGAAGAGCTCTCCTGGTGATCCCTGAGGGCAGGAATCCAAGTGCACCTAGAAGATGGAGTTAATGGGTGAAAGCTCCCCAGGCTACCAACAATTTGCCAGACCTCAGGTGTAATAGGAACTTCATCTGCCCAGACATGAGCCTGCCATTCCCCCCAAAGACCAGCAGGGAGAGCGCTGCAAGGTGGGTCACGATGTTCTATAAGGTGGGAAAGTCCTGCTAGGTTAGAATTCTGCCTGTGTTGTTTTATTGTATTTGTGGTCTTCTGGATAGAACTGTATTTAGAAAGCAGCCCAATACCTTTTCGGTGAACTGTACAGAGCTCTGGTGTTCATATCATTGAGCATGCTTTTGATCGAAGGTGACTCAACAACTGAGTGGACTAACAACTAGCTTAGTTATATCGGTTTATACACCATATAATAAGAAGCTACAAGTTAGCTGGGCTTGGTGTCGCAGGCCTTTAATCCCAGTGCTTGGGAGGCAGGGGCAGGCAGATCTCTATGAGTTTGAGGCCAGCCTGGTCTACAAAGTGAGTCCAGGACAGCCAAGGCTATACAGAGAAACTTTATCTTGAAAAACTAAACCAAACCAAAAAAGAAAAAAAGTTACAGGTTGAAGGTTGATTCGGTGGTTCCAAAGCAGCTCAAATAAAGACTAGTTTAGATAGGTTTAAATTTTTAAACGAGGCATCATTTTTCTCTTGGTATTCTTAAGGCATTGCTCTGTTGCCCTCTGATTCCCATTTCAAAGTGAGATTATTGATCCTTTCTGTGTCATCAGTCTTAATTTCTTTTATTCTAATCCTTTAAATTCTTCTCCAAGTCTCTGCTACCAGCGTAGAACTTGCTATCAATCTGTTTTTCATTGTTCTGAGACTTTACTTTTTTTCCCTTAGGTCATGGATATGGAATTTAAGGGGGATACTGAAATGGATTTTGGGGAGTAAGAAGTTTATTAAAGATTATATTAATGCATGAACAAACAAACAGATGACAGCAAACCGCGTGTCAAGGGCTCCGAGGAAAGTTAAACCTGAGCCCTAGAGACAGATAGCATGGCAGGGATTCTGAAGGTATACATTCTTATATGCTTCTGAAAAGGGGGGGGTGGGGTGAAATTTTACATCTTGAGCAGGGAACTGGGTAAGGAAGGTGATGTGTGGCTACTGTGTCCTTTGATATGTCTTGAGATTGCAAACTCCCAAGTGAGAAACCCAGACATCTGACTCTTAGCTAGAGACTCATACTGTTCCCTCAGTTGGGCGCCTGTATTGTGATATAAGCTGGTCTGGATTCTAACATTTGTTGTTTATTGCTGTGGGTTTCTCTTTTTTTTTTTTTTTTTTTACTGCCAGTGCTAGACATTGAACCATAGGTCTTGTGCATGCCAGCCCAGCATTCTACCACTGATCTGCATCCCAGCTCACTTTCCTGCTTCTTATAAATAAGGGCTTGGCTTTGTAGCATTGTTCTTAATCCTTCATCAAAAACCTGGGTGCAGGGGCTGGAGAGATAGATGAGTGGTTAAGAGCACTGACTGTTCTTCCAGAGGTCCTGAGTTCAATTCCCAGCAACCACCTGGTGGCTCATGACCATCTGTAATGGAATCTGATTTCCTGTTCTGGTGTGTGTGTGTGTGTGTGTGTGTGTGTGTGTGTGTATACACCATAATTTTATGCTAAATAAATACCAAATCAAATTCTAAAGTAAGGAAGGCTGACATAACTGTTGCTTTTCTCATGACATGCATTTTGTTGGTCTTGAGGAAACAGCAATTTTTTACTGAGTGTGTATATGCTCATGTGTGTGTGCATGTCCCCTGACCACACATGCATGGCTTGTTGGTAATCCAACACTGGGGGTTGGCACTGTTGTTGTGCCCAGTTCACGAACCCCAAAAGACCAGGAATAAACAGACTCCGCTGTAAATACATGAGGTTCTTTTTATTATAAATGACAAACTGCAGCTTGGGCCCACACCCCCAACTGAGGGAGCGAGGGAGCAAGGGAGTGGTGGGAGCCGAGCATGCTGTGCCCAGGTTAGTTAGTTGGGTGATTTAAAGATTCTGGTCCCTCCCAGCATGCCCAAGGCAGGGGTGATTCCTGCCTGTCAAGCATCTATTGATCAAAATGCTACATTTTTAATTGATTGGCTATAGGAAGGTCCCCAGACCATAATGACCTGGTGTCCCTCTCTAGGGGGATGGGCCAGTTTCCTAGCAACTGTATCTTAGTGGGTGGAGAAAGAATGCAGTAAGGTGGTCTTTCCCCTCAGGGCATTACTGGACTTCTTCACCCACCTAGTTCAGGCCTTAATTGATAGCTGATTTTTAATCTTTTGGTCTTTCATTGTCAGCCCCCTTTTAGAGATGGGGAGATTAGGAATCAGAGCCGTGAAGAACTTTCCAAAGATCAGTGTTAGACTGTTTAAACTTGCTGTCAGTGATCCTTAGGGCCCCTAGAGTTTGCCTGATTTAATAGTGGCACTGAGCTGTGGTTGGCCCCCAACCCGGGAAAGGCCTTTTGTCTTGCTTCTTATCTAGGTGTTGAAGGCTGAAGCCTGGAGTCAGACTCAGCAAATAACAGGAGGATCTTGAAAGGTTGTGCTAAGCCTTCTGATAT